GACGAGTAAGTGCACAGTGACTCCTGTTGACCGTTCTTAACAAACTGACACTCTTGTTTATGGCATCAGTAATCAACCTAGGCTCTTGTCATGAGCTGCCAAGGCTATGGAATCCCCCTGAGTTCACTGACTCTGATAATTTTTAGACAAGGCCATGGTCAAAGTGGAAGTTCTCTCCTCCCTTCAGAGAAAGGTACCTCCTTCTTTGATGACCCGTTCTTTCCACTGGGATCTCACTCGCGGAGATCTTTCATTTAGGTTTTTTTTTTTTTTTTCCAGAGTGCCTTGGCTTTCCATGCCTGAAATACTCTCATGGGCTTTTCAGCCAGATCCGAATGCCTTAAGGGCTGATTCTGAGGCCAGAGTGCTGTTTAGGACATCTGCCATTCTATGGGTCTGCTGTGTATCTCACTTCCCATGTTGGATCATTCTCTCCCTTTTTTATTCTATCAGCTAGTATTTGCAGACACTATTCTTGTTTATGTGATCCCTTTGGTTCTTAGTCCTATCATTATGATCAATTGTGAACAGAAATCTGTTATCTTCTAAAAAGCATTAAAACATCAACAACAAAAACAATATATACTGAGTTAATGATATGTTTAGCTTTCTTTGTCAGGTATCGTTTCTATCTTGGTATCATATATACCATTCATACATGCTAAGTGCTCTGACCTCAAGGATAAGAATAAAGAATAAACTTGCAAAGTGAAAAATTCTTGAGAGATGAGAGAAAAGAGCCTCAGTAATCAAGAAAATATTTGAGAGTCAATGAATTCACCTTTTTCTATTTGTATTTATCATACAGTTTCCATTTGTCAAACTTAAGAGAAACTGGAGAATCTGAAAAAGCATAGAAAATATTTCAATTAGGACACAATACTCAATATTTAGAAATATCAGTAGATAAAGAGGAAGTTATGAGATCCAACCAAGTAAAATTTAAAATTAATATACTTTTTTGGCCTTTGCAGGACTTTATATTGCGATCATTTATTTTTCTAAGATGGAAGTGCCATAAAGTAGCTCTAATAAACAATTTACAGAAGAGAAAGGATAAGTAGTTTTTAAAAATACATTTATTTATTTGAAAGACAGTTAGAGAGAAAGAGGGAGGGAGAGAGAGAGAGAGAGAGAGAGAGAGAGAGAATCTTCCACCCCTTGGTTCACTCCCCATATGACCACAATGGCCAAGGCTGGGCCCAGCCAAATCCAGCAACTTGGAATACCATCCAAGTCTCCAACCTGGGTGGCAGGGGCCAAGGTACCTAGGTCATCTTCTGCTTCCTTTCCTGGTGCATCAGCAGGGAGCTGGACCAGAAGCAGAGCAACCAGGACATGAACTGGCACTCAGATATGGGATGCCAGCATTGCCAGTGGTGGCATAACACACTGTACCACAACACAGGCCCCAGAAACCCTTTAAAATACTGAATTGGTACCTGTGCTGTTAGCTGCTGTTGCTCGTGGTACTTCTGTGTTAGTTTTGCCATATCAAGAAAAAGTGTAGCATATTTCCTGTAACATTAAATTCCACAAATAAACCAGGATTAAAAGATATTTGTGGCATTTTGAAGATATAATATCTAATAATACGCTGAACTGTCTGATTTAACATCGTTCACAATATTCTTCATGAATGTTATCCCCCCCCAATTCCCTGCCTGAATATTTTAGCCTTCAAATTTAACTCCTTTCAATCTTTGTCACTTAGTCCACACAAGTATCACATTAACATTTTTGAAAGCACAGATTACCTTGGTACTCTCCTAAATTTGACAAGATGAAACTCACTGGAAACCAAGATAATATTAATGAAATTCATTATTAATGATCACAGGAGCAGAAAATAATGCTTCACAGAACGCTGGAAGCCTTTTTAATCAAGACCAGTGGATTTACACAAAACTAGCATGTGAACAATATGACACTGCACCCTTTGTTTCAGATTAAAAAACTACAAATTTCTTGTACAGAATTAATTTTAAATATGATCTAAATTCCACAATGGGAAAATATTACAAATATTTGGGTAGAAGGGATCTCAGAAAGTCATTTATCAACTGTTGTCCAACAATTTTTGTCTGGTCTACCTATAAAACCATCCAGAGCCCACTGGTACATCATCAATCTCATGATATATAAGTGTGGTATGGTTAACATTCAACAGCAGGCCAATATGCAGAATTAAGATGAAAGACTGGCTTATGGTCAAAGTGAATGGAAATCTTGGCTTATGTTCAATGTGAAGGCCAGAAAATACTTTCATTACTCTCACTGTCTCTCTTTTTTCCCTTGCTGGAAGTGAAAAGTTTAATTTACTAAGTCAGTTACAAAAGACAGAATCATGAACTTAAAGGTACATTTGCACTTCACTGAAAGATTGGCAGATGAGTTCAAGTTTAACTTAGACATTGGTAGATAGTTCCTGGAACATATACACACATATATCCTCTAAGGAAAATAATTAGTTGTAAGCTGCTCTCACAAGTACTATTGTGCAACTATTTAGCCATTTAAATTTTGCCTTCGAACTCTACTACCTGAGCAAAGGCTCTAATGTTACAGTCATTGCATGCTCTACTATGTACTCTGTAGTTCTTTATAAAATACCAAAAAAAATAGCTTAAAGTATCCATTTTACAGACATAGTGAAAACAAGGCAAGAGAAAAGAACCATATATCATCTTGGGACTCACCAATACTTAGGAAATAACCCAGGAATGTAGGGCACAGTACTTAAATAAGAACCTGTTTTAACATATTTTTTTCTGTTTTTCCAGTGTCAGATGGAAACTGTTATCTGCTATGCTGCCCATACCTATACAATTGTCTTGGATGCTGGTAACTTATTTCTGATTTATACAGCGGTCTGCTAGTCAGCCAGAGTTCTGAGTTCTGAGCTATTGGAACATTAACAGCAGTACAAACGCTAAAGCATTTGATTCATGCTGTGGTTTTATTTAAAAGAAATGTCTTTAAAGCGCCATGGAAAACGAGAGTTCAGTTCTTCAGTTCAGAGGAAATCAACTTTAACAACCTTAGAAACAGACATTGGAAATCTTGATAAACACCCACTTTTCCAGTTCTGCTAATTTGCCCTCCATATTGTTTTGCTTCTCATTAATCTCCTGCATTTCAGTCATTATCCCCTGGAACTCATCAGGGGAGTTTCTGACATCTTCATTTCTCATTCCTGGAACCTAAAATGGAAATAGAATATAGTTGGGTTGGTTAGAAATTTCATACCATTAAGTATCCATTATAAGCACTAATGGGAGAGAAGAGGAATAGTTAATTTATGACAGTAGCCTAAATTTCCCAAATGTACCTCTATTTTAACACTAAACAGAATAGGCTTCATATTACAGTCATTGCATACATTCTCATCTTTCCCACTAATTTGAAAGTTTCTAGAACATGAGGAACATATTCTATGGTTATCCTTCTCCTTGATTCTCAAATAATAATTTCTACACAGAGGAGCTACGATAAATGTTCATTAAATTAAGCATGTATTTTGAGACTGAAGTTTACACAATAATAAATGTACAAGAATGAATACATTACAGTTTCTATTCTCACCTAATTGAAAATATCCTACAGGAAAAATAAAATATGCATACAAAGAGCTATAATTTAATACATAAAATACACAAAAACATTTAGATGTTATTTTGATTAAAAAAAAAAAAACTAGATTAGGGGCCGGCACTGTGGTGTAGTGGGTAAAGCCGCAGCCTGCAGTGCCAGCATCCCATATGGGCGCTGGTTCGAGTCCTGGCTTCTCCACTTCCCATCCAGCTCTCTGCTGTGGCCTGGGAAAGCAGTAGAAGATGGCCCAAGTCCTTGAGCCCTGCACCTGCGTGGGAGAGCTGGAAGAATCTCCTGGATCCTGGTTTTGTATTGGTGCAGCTCCGGCCGTTGTGGCCAATTTGAGTGAAGCAGTGGATGGAAGAGCTCTCTCTCTCTCTCTGCCTCTCCTTCTCTCTCTGTGCAACTCTGACTTTCAAGTAAATAACTAAATTAAAAAAAAACTAGATTAAGTTAGAAACACACTTTCATGCACATTCTGTTTAAACCTGAGGTCTGATCATCACCCAACTCTTTCCTTTCAGAAATGATTGTGAACAGTGTTGGAGAAGACGCTTTATCTCATGGATAATCTACAATGTGATTAATTCTCAGAAACAATCCAAAGTGGACTGTAGTTTTATTTTATATGCCCAGAGAGATGCAAGCATGTGAACTAGGATTTTTATAAATGAAGCACCATGTGAGAACTTTTAATGGAGAATACTGTCTATAACGATAATGTTATAACCATTTCCACAGATAGTGACTAAACAGGCGTTAATGACTTGGATCTGTACTGTTTGAATATGTCTGTAAGATACATTATAATATTTAATGACTTCTTAAAAATTCTCATTCATTCAGAATTCATGGCATAGGCACAATACATGTTTTTATTTAAGCAGTTAATGTCGCTCCCCCTCTTCGTGGAGGAACGACACAGGACCCTGCGCTGTTCTTTCGTCTGCTCGGCCCTCCCCGGGTTTGCTGCTGGTTCTTCCCGGGTTGGCTACTATCCCTTCCACCTCCGTGGAAGGGCAGTTCCCCCTGGCCGCATTCCCCACTTCCGCAGGGGAGCGGCACACCGCCGGCTTTCTCGGGGGCTGCACGGGTTCCCTTAGATGTTCCCCATAGATGTTCCTGGTGCATGCCGTTTCTCTCCTCCTTTATAGTCCTCCTCCGCCAATCCCAACTCGGCTGCCCACACGCCGAGTACGCTGCTCTCCAATCAGGAGCAAGTCCTACAGTTTATTAGTTGAACTGGAGGCAGCTGTGCAGAAGCTGTTTACTTCTCTCCCAGCGCCATATTGTGGGAGAGCAGATGCATAGAATAAGTCCTAATTCGAGTAACTTAGTCTAGTCCGGATTGCTCCCCACAGTTAATACAAGCAAGAGGGGCTGGTGTGGTGCAGTGGGTTAATCTGCCTCCTTTGATGCTGGCATCCCATATGAATGCCGTTTCAAGTTCTGGCTGCTCTAATTCTGATCCAGCTTCTGTTAATGTGCTTGGGAATGTATTGCAAGATGCCCAAGTACTTGGGCCCCTTCCACTCACTTGGGAGACCCATATAGAGTTCCAGGTTCCTGGCTTCAGTCTGGCCCACCCATGGCCGTTGACATCATTTGGTGAGTGAACCAGTGGATGAAAGATGTCTGTCTATGTGTATGTGTCTATCTCTGTCTCTCGCTGTGACTCTGTCTTTCAAATAAATAAATATATCCTTTTAAAAATTCAGAGAAGTCATAAGAATTACACTTTAACAGAATAAGGCAATGAATCAATTGCATTATCAATCACTCTAAATTTAAGCTTAATTTAGTACCATAACTGTACAAGCCTATGTTCTAGCAAGCAAGGATGTCCAGGCACTAGGTTTCTCAAATTGAAACTTAGGAAATGTGAATAGGAATTTCTAACTTGTTTCTATCTGCTGTCAAAATGTGTGAGAAATGAGTTGATTTGTTAAACATCCTTTGTGGGATTAACAGAACAGGAGAGAAGGTTAGACATGTAGACATAAAAAAGATGACTTTGAACAGCGGTATGTGATAAATTTCATCAGAACTCAGAATAGAGAGCAATCACATTTGGAATAAACCAGATGTCTGTTTTGATTTTGTGATAATGAATAAATTGCTTGCCATATGTTTAGCCCAGAACCTGGTCACTGTTCTGTGGATGATATGTATCATTTCCCAAATATTCACTTAACCAAATGAGATAAGTCTAACACAATACTAGAAAAAGCTTTTCTATTTTCAAATGGAATTGGGCACTGATTTATCTTAGTTTAGCTTTCTACTTCATTCCTCTACTTCACACAATGGAGATGATTCCAAGGTCACTACAATAATGCAAAGACCATGGGTGCTTTGGTATTATTGAAAAAATTGCACTGAAAATCAAAAGTTGTTCTATTGCAGTGGTTATTAACTCTTTAGTCTGAGGATCTCTTTAAAAATTTTTTAGAAACCAAATATCTTTGGTTTATATATTATATGCACCAATATTCACTATATGAAATTAAAAGCTGATAAAATTTTAGATATTTACTGATTTCCTAACAATAACACATTCATTACATATTAACATTAGAATGAAATTTCACTATACTCATGATAAAACAAAGGATGAAAATAGCCAATAATATTTTGGTATTATTTTGAATATATAGCTGACCATGCAGGTCCCCTAAATGTCTTCTATGTCCCTAGGGGTTTACAAATTATCTAAGTGATATTTCAAATCTTTATGGTTTTCCTTTTTGTCTTGAATGTCTAGAACACAGACATAATCTGTATATAATGTTCATGCAAAGTGTCAATATACACAGATATTCCAAAAGTGAAAAACTGTGTTACTATTTTATATTCTGTCCTGATTTTTATGCAGCCATAGGCATGAATGAGCAGATATGGCAGTTATTTTGTTCATTAAGAAAAACAATAAAATAATTACTTTATAACTTATCTTAGTCTCCTCTATTTCCTAAAACATTATATTCCCATCTTCATGGTAAAAAGATAACAACATATTCTTTTTTAAAAATTTATTTGTTTGACAGGTAGAGTTATAGAAAGTGATAGAGAGAGACAGAGAGAAAGGTCTTTCTTCCGTTGGTTCACTCTCCAAATGGCCGCTACGGCCAGCACCACGCCGATCCAAAGCCAGGAGCCAGGTGCTTCTTCCTGGTCTCCCATGCGGGTGCAGGGGCCCAAGCACTTGGGCCATCCTCCACTTCCTTCCCGGGCCACAGCAGAGAGCTGGACTGGAAGAGGAGCAACTGGGACTAGAACCCGGCTCCCATATGGGATGCCGGCACCACAGGCAGAGGATTAACCAAGTGAGCCATGGCGCCAGCCCCAACAACTTATTCTTTAGGAAGAGTGATCATGATTGTCTTTTTGGATAAATTGATACTTAATATCATCTTTCCAGGGAACTATAAGAAGTACTTAGCAAATGAGTATCCAGATGGCAAATCTCAACTGCCAATGACTTGACCCTTCAGACTTAGAGAAACTCTAAAATGTGCAGATCAAGGAAAGACTGGCTATAGCCCAAAATGCTATGGAAAAATATGTGGAAATAGTCACTCTACCTTGCGCTTAATACTACCCACAAGGTTGGTTTTCCCTTTTTGGAAGAATGGATGTTGAAATTCCTGCATATTTTTCTTTTCCTTGACGTGAAATACACTATCAAACGAAATCACCTTTCGGAAACCATCTAGTAAAAAAAGAAAAAGAAAATAAGATAATATAACAACAACAACAACAACAACAACTGCTTCTAAGTAGATTCTGAAGGGAGAGTTAGCAACCATCAGAATAAATAAACAATACAAAAAAATTGACTGCTACAAAATATTACATTGGTGAATAATTTTATACTCAGGAACTGAGATTTCAATAGTAAATTCTTTTTTGTTTATTTACATAAAAGGAACATATTTCAAGTACTTCATATATAGCTTTAAGAACATATTGACACTTTCCATCATCTCTCCATAACTTTCATCCTCTGTCCTCCTTCCTTTCTTTTCTTTCAATTTTTGCAATGACATATTTTCAATTTACTTTATAATCATAAGCTTAATCCTCCACTAGAGACTACTATTCCTCAGGAGTTTAGCAAGCATTATAGACAACAGTCAAATCAGAAGATGTCAGTTTAGCTCGAAATACATTAAGATTTTTTGTACTCTATATATTAGTTACAATTAATCAGAGAAAACATATGATATTTATCTTTTGGGGGTTGGCTTATTTCACTAATCAATAATAGTCCCAAGTTGTATACATTTTGTTGCAAAAGACAGGATTTCATTCTTTTTATGGCTGAGTAGTATTCCATCATGTGTAAATGTAACTTTTTTTAGCCAGTCATCAGCTAATGGACATCTGGGTTGATTCCTTATCTAGGCTATTGTAAATTGAGCTGCCATAAATACAGAAGGTACAGATAATTATTTCACATTCTGATAGAAAATGCTACCTTTTTTAAAAATAGAATTTATAAATAACTCTAGGGTACTAGTGTGGAAGCATGGACAACTGAAATCTATGTACAATCCTTAGACTGTATTTTAACCCATAGATTCAAATTTCTGAAACACCCACTCTATGCTGACATATCTCAACAATTTATTGAGTTGGAGAAAACGGTTTTATCTTTTCATGTTGCTCCATTCAATATTTGAAAACGATTCAAAGGAAGGCAGTCTGAGAAAGGAGAAAAAGCAATGGGACTTGAAGCGATGACAAGTGAGGTTATCTGTTCCTGAGTAATCAAGAATTTGAAGTATTTTGTATGTAAGCATAGATGTTTTTAATGTAAGAATTCACAGCCATGGGTAATAAAAAGGAAGCAAAATAGAGACTAGTAGGCATACTGTTCAAAAAGAGCAGAAATGCCACTTTCTAGATGCAGCCTGATGTACTTATTAATAGGGAGTTGGGAAAGGATAACAATAGGAGTGTAATGAGGTGATTCAAAATTCTGTTGATACTAGATATAACTTACCCATCTCATTACTCTAAGCTCATGTAGGAATCTGGATTTATGAACACACACAGAGATTCATAGTTCAAAGAAAGTAATCAAGGAAGGGAGAAAAATATATTGGTAGCTGTTAGCCAGAGTGGGTATGTATGAAAATGTTCATATGTGTAGAAAAGTCCAGATAGGAGTTGGGGCAAGATGGTGGTATAGTAGTGGAACGTTCCTGGTCACACAGTGAAAAATGGATGATTAATGAGTAGAGGGGATACAAGCAGGGGGCAGAATCACAAAATGTTTGGGCGGAGTGGACCCAGAGTCCACCAGAGACTGCTCGGGGCCACACTGGAGGAAGCAGAGAGGTGGCTGAGGTGTACAGAAGGAGTGGCAAGGGTTCCAGTGAGGAGAGAGGTGCCGCTTCCTCAGCAAACCAGGTGAGAGGTTGCGAGTCCATGGAGATGCACAGTAATGAGTGGGAAATTTGGTGAATAGCACTTGGAGCTCTAAGTGGGAAGAAGGAGAAATTCTGGGGGATGGGCAGAGAGGTTGAACACGCCAGGATCCATTGGTGTCATCCCCCTCCCTCCAGCCAGAGCTACAGCCATCGGGGAGAAGCCATACTGATTGTTTACATTTTCGAGTGTAAGCAGTGGGCTGCAGCGTCTGCTTCCCACACACAAACTCATCAATTGTAGGGGCCACCTCACAATACGCCCCACCTGGGAACAAGGATCACAACAATTCAGAGTGATTTTCCCACCACCATGCAAGTTGTACAACGAGTAATACTAAACAACGAAAACCCAAGCTTGTTTTATGAACAAGCAAACAGGGAGCCCAGCCCCAGTAGACGGGGCTTCTTAGTACACCAAAGCCCTGGTACCCGCCTTCATCAGGACCCAGAAATAAACAAAACTCCAGGAAGTGGAGCTGCATGCTTCCACTTGCAATGGGCACAGACACATAGCAGCTCATAGCAGAGGGAAATCAATTTAAAACTAAAACCAAGCAGAAACCAAACAGAAATGCCAAGAACAAAGGAAAAAGCTGGAATAAGAATAAGGAATAATTTATAAACTCACCAATGCAGCAATCTAAATCTTCAACAATGGAGGCTGAAGAAGAAATTGAGACTGTGCCAGGAAAGGAATTCATAAAATTAATAATCATATTACTTAGAAGAAATCAGAAACAGATTCAAAATCTGAATGAAAAAACTCCCAAGAAATTGAGATTTTAAAGAGAAGCCAAAATGAACTACTGGAAATGAAAAATTCAATTGACCAGATAAAAAATGCAGTGGAATCTCTTAGTAATAGAACAGATTAAATAGAAGAGTGAATATCAGAACTAGAATACAAACTTCCGGAAATAATAGTCAAACCAAACACAACAAGAAGAAATTAGAAAATTAAAAATCATGGTTGCAGATTTACAAGACTGTATCAAGCGATCCAACTTATGGATCATAGGAGTTCCAGAAGGTGTGGAAAGAGAGAACAGATTATAAGGCCTTCTTAATGAAATTATATCAGAAAACTTCTACAACAGGCAGACTGAAAGAGACATCCAAGTATAAAAAAAGCACAGAACTCCCAACAGACACAACCAGAAAAGGAATTCACCACAACACATTGTGGCAACACTCAGCTCAGTGAAACACAAAGAACAGATCTTAAAATGCGCCTTAGAGAAACAACAAATCACATTCAGAGTTAATCCAATTAGACTCACCTTGGACTTCTCATTGCAAACCCTACAGGCAAGGAGACAATGGTGAGATATATTCCAAATACTAAGAGAAAAAAACTGTCAACTCAGAATACTGTACCCTGCAAAACTCTCATTTATGGATGAAGGAGAAATAAGGATTTTCCACAATGAGCAGAAATTGAAAGAATTTATGTCTTTACCCCTAGCCCTACAAGAAAGTTCAAGGCTACACACAGAAACACAGAAACAGGAACTTCACTACAAAAGAAAATGAACATAGATAATGATCCAGCAAAAGTATAAACTAAATCCAAAATACATAAACAGGTCTATTTAAGGAAACATGGCAGGGAAATGACAGTATTTAACAATAGTTACACTGAATGTAAATGGTCTCAGCTCCCCAGTTAAAAGACACAGATTAGCTGAATGGATTAAAAAAGAAAACTCATCTATCTGAGCCTACAAGAAACACACCTTACCAACAAAGAAGAACACAGACTGAAAGTGAAAGGATGGAAAAAGATATTCCATGCTAAGAGAAACCAAAAAAGAGCTGGTGTGGCCATCCTAACATCAGACAAAATAGACTTTAACACAAAAACTATTAAAAGAGACAAAGAAGGACACTATATAATGATTAAAGGGTCAATTCAACAGGAAGATGTGACTACTATAAATGTATATGTAGGGGCTGACGCTCTGGTGCAGCGGGTTAAAGCCCTGTCCTGAAGCACTGGCATCCCATAGGGTGCTGATTCTAGTCTGGGCGAATCCTCATTTGATGCAGCTCTCTGCTATGACCTGGGAAAGCAGAGAAAGATGGCCCAAGTGCTTGCACTCCTATACCCACGTGGGAGACCAGGAAGAAGCTCCAGGCTCCTGGTTTCAGATTGGCTCAGTTCTGGCCATTGTGGCCATCTGAGGAGTGGAACAGTGGATGGAAGACTTCTCTATGTATCTGCCTCTCTCTGTAACTTTCAAACAAATAAAATAAATCTAAAAAAAGTATATGCACCTAATCACAGGGTGCCTGGCTATTTGAAAGAATTATTAAGGGATTTAAAGGGAGATATAGACTCAAATACAATAGTAACGAGGGACTTTAATACCCCACTTTCAGCAATGGATAGCTCAACCAGACAGAAAATTAACAAGGAAACAATAGAGTTCATTGACACTATAGACCAAATAGACCTAGCAGATAACTACAGAGTTTTCCACCCTATAGCAAGAGTATACATATTTCTCCCCAGTGCATGGAACTTTCTCTAGGATTGACCATATGCTAGGCCATAAATTGAGTCTCAGCAAATTCAAAAGAATCGAAATCATACCATGCATCTTCTCAGATCACAATGCAACGAAGCTGGAAATCAACAACGCAAGAATCTCTACATCATATTCAAACACATGGGGAATGAACAGCATGTTTCTGAATGAACAGTGGGTAATAGAAGAAATCAAAACGGAAATAAAAATATTTGTGGAAACAAATGAAGACGACAATACAACTTACCAAAATTTGTGGGATACAGCAAGAGCAGTGTTAAGAGGAAAGTTTATAGCAGTTGGTGTCTACATTAAGAAACTGGAAAGGCATCAAATAAATAAACTGTCTATGCACTTCAAGCATCTAGAAAAGCAGCAGCAAACCAAACCCAAAACCAGTAGAAGAAAAGAAATAACTAAAATTAGAGAAGCAATCAACAAAACTGAAACCTAAAAAGCAATGCAAAAGATTAGCAAACTGAAGAGCTGGTTTTTTGAAAAAATTTACAAAATTGACACACCATTGGCTGAACTAACCAAAAAAAGTAGAGAGAAGACTCAAATCAATAAAACTAGAGATGGAAAGGAAATGTAACAACAGACACCACAGAACTAAAAAGAATCATCAGAAACCGCTACAAAGAGCTGTATGCCAACAAACTGGGAAACCTATAAGAAATGGATAGATTCCTGGACACATACAACTTACCTAAATTGAGTCATGAAGACAAAGAAAACCTAAA